AAAAAAAAAAAAAAAAAAAAAAGTCTCTCTGAAGGAGAGCAGAGCTCTGGTAATGTTGTTCTAATGAGTAGAATTGGGGCCCAGAAGTGAGATGAAGACTTAATTTTTGACTGATTAAAACTACTTTTTTCTTAAGTGTATTGTATTCACTGAGCTAAATGAAAATTTAAATAATGGCATAAGTAGAAATGAACACTATGTGAAAAAACAGAGGAAAACCTCTACTTTGGGGGAAATGGAAGGTGAGCTGACCTTGACCTTGGTCACATTTGGGAAAGAGCTGAGGATGGCAGTGCAAGCAGAGGGCGCTCTGTGATGAAAACCTGGGGCAGGAGTAGTTATGAAAGATGGGCCCTGAGGGGCTGGTGAGGCCAGGTCAGTGAGAGCTGCCTCCTGCTCTGGGGGCCCACAGAGCCTGGGTTCTGGGAGCTCCTGGGGTGCTCACCTCGTACTCACTGTGACGCACGTAGATGCGCAGCTCAAATGGTTCGCCATCCTCAAAGGGCACGAAGTATGATTTCTCTTCCAACTTCCATATCCCAAACTCACGACTGTTCATGACCATGCGATGGCCAAAGTGCACTCGGAAATGGAAGGCAATTTCTGAGTCCTCATCCATTCCAGTGTGGAAATCCACCTGCAGCTGTGGGTCATTGCTGAGGGCAAAGCACACAGCAGGTTGGGCAGGTCCCTCCCTTGCGCAAACACACATTCAACACACACACAAATCCCTTCCCCCCTTTACCCAGGGCAAAAGTCTCCCTGATGATACTGCAGGCCTGGTCCCTGTGGGGATGCTTCAGCTCCTCATGCCCCCGGCAGGGAGATGCTGTGCTCCTCATCCCCAGATGAAAACTGAGCCAGTCACTGACCCGAGCCTGACTTGTTCATTCCCTGAAAATTCAATGCCCCTTGATGAAGAGCTCCAACTCCAACCCACTGAATGTTCTCCTCCCCTAGGCCCCGTGGCTGGCCCACATGCAGTTGCTGCAGGTCTCATGCCAGGTGCTGGAGGGTCTCCAGGACCTGCACCTGCATGAAGCCTCCATCCTGCCAGCTAGACATTTCCACATCACTCACACATAACATCAAGCCCTTAGCAAATATTATCCCTTCTCCACCCCCTCCATTGGACCATAGAGTACTCACATAAAAGAGAGGATCGGTGTTCCTTTGATAATCACACAGGAACCAATAGACAAGGACACAGGCAGTTTGTATGGCACCTGCCAGGGTATTGAGGGTGAGTGAGAGGTGCAGGGTCAGGTGCAGCCTCCCCTCCTGTAACAGATTCCCATGGTGCAGGAGTTTAGAGATCAAAGGGCAGACTCCAAGGCCTCCCTCTTTCACCCTTCCACAGTCAGGGGCCCATATTCCTGAAGATATGGTGGACCCATGGGTAAGAGCAAGGGTTCAGGATGCCTGGATTCTGGTCCTCATTCCGCCTTTTACAAGCAGTGCAATCTTAGATCCATTACTTGAACTCTCCCTGCCTCAGTTTCCCTAGGACAAGGAGGATTATCAGGAATTCCTATGTTTTAGGATGTTCTCCATAATAGAGGAGTTAATATATGTAAAACTTTTACCCTAATCCTTGGAATGTATAGGTCCTGTTAGGGGTGAACTAACAGAACAAGGAAGTCCTCCTGAAACACTGACCTGCCTTCATTTTCACCTCTGAAAATAAAAACAAGACTTGATAATCTAAGAGTTTAAAAATTCACTCCAGTGAGAAACAACATTTGCTTAAACAGATAGGGAAATTATTTTTTTAAAAAAATAGGAAATCCCTATGTGTGGGATGCACATGCATCACAATCATCAAGGGCAATGGACGTCCTTCCCAGAAGGGGCCACATTGCTGAGAGCATAGCCCCAGTACTCGCACAAATGAAGCCTGTGGATCAGGGACATAACTGGAGGAAATTATTGATTCCTGCAATGACTACAAGTGATTGACGATTTTTCTGTATTTTTGAGATAGGGTCTTGCTCTTTTGCCCAAGCTGATGTGCAGTGGTACAATCATAGCTCACTGAAACCTCGAATTCCTGGGCTGCAGTGATCCTCACACACCTGCTCCCCCTTGAGTAATTGGGATGAAAAGTGCCTGTCACTCTGCCAGTCTGATATTTAAAGTTTTTTAAAGAAACGGTCTTAAACTTATGGCCTCAAGTTATTCTCTTATCTTTGCCTCCCAAATTGGTGGAATTAAAGCCATGAGCCTGTGAACCCAGCTGCTTTGTTGACTGATATCCACTGTAAGCTCTGTCTGAACTGAGACTAAATTTGTTCCTTCATGGGTGGAGAAACAAGTTTAGTCTCAGTTCAGACACAACTTACAGTGGATATTTTGCATGACTCGGTGTCTGAAACCACTGCCCCTGCTGTCCTTCCCTAGCAAACCATCATCTGCACATCCTCCTGTCCCACAATGGGAAGAACAGGATAGGCTCAGGACAGGGAGGCTGAGTTGGAAGCAAGAACCAGTGGTCACTTTGTGCAGACCCCACCTCAGGAACCATCGCCCCCATATTCTGCATTCATCTTCCCTACTCTTATTGGGAAAAGACATCTACTGATCATACATTTTGCTCTCATAAGTGATCTGAGTCCTTGATAACTCATAATCCCCAAGAGCCCCACCAGTTAAGCCACCTGGGATCCACATTGACACTCATAAAAAGACACACAGATTCTTCATCAAAGGTGTTGCTGTGTGGGGAGGAAGTTTCACATGCACAGAAAGCCAGATGCATGTTCCCGCTTCAATACACAGTCAAATTCTAGCACACACACCTGCTCACTGTGCACATAAAAATGCTCATTCACTGGTCTGGCTGTGCTCACACACACACTCACATAACGGACAGGAAGACAAAGCACACTCACTCCCTTTCACTCACACATCTGCTCGTCCTGGTGGGGCATCCACCTTCCATCTAAAGTCACATCATCTCAGCAGATCTCATTCTCATCAGACACCACCACATGCTCACAGAGGGTTACACTGGTCCAGAATCCCCAGAGTCCACACCCCACACCCTACAAGCATCCCAGATACCACAGCCTCAGGATTTCTTTTCCACACACCCACAACTCTCAGTAAAGCATGCACAGTAGAAATGCTCATATTTTCATCCCATACAATTTTCCATTTCTTTCTTGGTTTGTGTGACTTGAGATTATTGAAGGCTGTGCCTTTTCAACTCACAGGTAGAGATGACATTGGTCTCTCTTTCTGGGTGATCTTCAGAATTGTGTCCAGTCTTCTGTCCCGTGTTCTGAGTAAACCTTGGACTTGCAGCATTTAAATGATCCCTTTCAGCCTTTCCCTCTGGCTTCATTCCAGATTCCATGCTCCTCCCAGCAACCATAGCTATTTGCAGGTCTGTGTCTGTAATGCAGCAGAAATGACAGTGGGAGGTACCAGGCTGTGGATTGGGTTACCAGGGAAATGCATAGTTAAGGATGATGGAGTGAGGGAGTGATAGTAAAGCCCAGCCTTTATGCCTCTCAAGCCTTTTCTCTACTATGAAGAATCTACCCAGAAGGTGTACATTTTTCCAATTTGTACAATGGCAAAAAAAAAAAAGTTGGATATTTAGGGGAAAGACATTAACCCTAAAAGGTAATTCTTCTCTTTGCCTTTAAACTTTCTAGGAGAACACTGACATTGATCCCCAGGAGAATCTGGGCAGAGAAGTAGAGAAAGTTCCTGCATGAACCTGCCCCACACTAGGCCGCTTGGCTCTGCCAGGTGAGGGCCACTCTCATCTGACTGTCACACACCTAAGCTCTAGTTACACTCTCTCATTTCTCTTGGTGTCCATTTAAGTCAAAGTTTAAGAGACACTGTTTCTCCTGAAGATTCCGGGAGAAAGGTGAGATTGTTGTTTCTTCTTTGATTTTTTTTTTTTTTTTAACTTTTATTATATGTTCACCCTGACACTCAGGCTGGAGTGGTGTGGCACCAGCACAGCTCACTGTAACCTCTGGCTCCTGGGCTCAGGTGATCCTTCCAGCTCAGTTTCCTAAGTAGCTGGAACTACAGGCAGATGTCACCATGCCAGACTAATTTTTTTCTATTTTTAGTAGAGATGGGTTTTTGCCATGTTACCAAGCCTGTTCACAGATTCCTGTGTTCAAGCGATCCACCAGCATTGGCTGCCCGAAGTCCTGGAATTACAGATGTGAGCCACTGTGCCGAGCCCTTTGCCAACTTTTTTATGGGTTTGTTTCTTTCGTGTAAAGTTGTTGAAGTTCCTTATAGATGCTCGGCTATTAGACCTTCTTCAGACACGTAGTTGGAAAATATTTTCTCCCATTCTGTAGGCTGTCTGTTTATTGATAGTTTTCTTTGCTATGCAGAACCTCTTTAGTTTAATTAGATTCTGTTTGTCAATTTTTGCTTTTTTTGTGATTGCCTTTTACATCTTTATCATGAAATCTTTCCTCATGCCTATATCCTGCATGGTGCTGCCTAGGTTGTCTTCCAGGGTGTTTATAGTTATGGGTTTTACATTTAAGTCTTTAATCTACCTTGAGTTGATTGTTCTATATGGTGTAGAGAAGGGGTCCAGTTTCAATATTCTGCATATGGCTAGCCAATTCACCCAGTACCATTTCTTCAATAGAAAATCATTTTTTCGGCCAGGCACGGTGGCTCACGCCTGTAATCCCAGCACTCTGGGAGGCCAAGGTGGGTGGATCACCTGAGGTGGGGAGTTCAAGACCAGCCTGACCAACATGGTGAAACCCCATCTTAAAAAAAAGAAAAAAGAAAGAAAGTCATTTTTTCCATTGCTTGTTTGGTCAGCTTTGTCGAATATCAAATGGTTGTAGAGGTGTGGCCTTACTCCTGAGCTCTCCATTCTGTTCCATTGGTCCATGCATCTGTTTTCATAGCAAAACTATGTTGTTTTGGTTACTGTAGCCTTGTAATGTGATGCTTCTAGCTTTGTTCTTTTTGCATAGAATTGCCTCAGTTATTTGGCTCTCTTTTGATTCCATGCAAATTTTAAAATAGTTTTTCTTCTAATTCTGTGAAGAATGTCATTCATAGTTTGCTAGGAACAGCGTTGCATCTGTAAATGTCTTTGGACAGTATGACTGTTTTAATAATATTGATTTTTCTTATCCATGAGCATGGAATATTTTTCCATTTCTTTGTGTCATCTCTGGTTTCTTTGAGCAGTGTTTTGTAATTCTCATTATAGCAATCTTTCACCTCCCTGGTTAGCTGTAATTTTAGGTAGTTTATTCCTTTTGTGACAGTTGTGAATAGAATTGGATTCCTGATTTGACTTTATACTTTGCTGTTGTTGGCATATAGGAGTTCTAGTGATTTTTTGCATACAGGGATAGTTTGACCTCTCTTTCTATTTAGATGCCCTTTCTTCCTTTCTCTTGCATGATTAGTTTAGTCAGGACTTCTAGTACTACGTTGAATAGAAGTGGTGAGAGAGGACACTGCAGAAATTGTGGTTTAAAAAATCCAAGTTGAATTTCTGCTTTATTATTCGTGGAGATTTTGACCATGATCTGTCAAATACAAAACAGAACAGAACAAAATTCCTCTCTTATTTCGTCATATTGACCCCACACTTTCCAGTACAGGGCTAAACGCACTAATGCTCAGCACTATGGACAATTCCATGGGGGAGACATCTTTGAGGGACTTGGGCATTATGGACAATATTATCACAGAGTAAATTTATTTTGTGGGAGACTTCAACAAAAACTGAAAAGCCTAAAGACCTATGAGAATAAAGGCCTTAGAGTCCAGGAATGACTTCTGTGTTTTGAGCAATGCTGTATTTTCTGGGAGAAGGTTGGGAATTGGCTTGAGGAGCATGAAAATGATTTTGAGTAGGTCCCAAGAGGCAATTCAAAAATTCTCTGTTGAACATTGGCTCCTAAACTCTTTGTCATCTCTTTGTATCTAAGATGTCATCCTGGCCTCCATGAGTAAAGGGTAGCATCTGAGATGAAAATGAGTGTAACAAATGGCCCATGTGAACTGAAATGAGCTGGTGAATATCAGTCAAGAAAGGGAGTCACTGTGTGTGTTGCAAGGCCAGCATGTAGGACTCTGTACCTTATTCAAATAAAATGAGTGTCATCCAGGAGCAAGCAGACATGAAATCAGACATGTTCTCCACAGGAAATCATGGGTTCCAGGATAGTCTCCATTGACTCAGAGCAAAAATTGCCTAATTCTCCAAGAAATGAATTCCATGCTGGTGATGGGGCCTATAATTCATTTTGAAAATAGAGAACTGACCAGACTATTACAGGTATGGTGTAATGAGGAGAGTGTGCCTAATCAGAACCTTGAAAGTTTCCAATGAGAGGACAGGAAATTTCAGTCCATATTGGAAAAACCAAGGAAGAAAAGGCACGAAGAGTATAATTCACTGTGCATTGACACATTAAGGTAACTGAATGTTAGATTAGATTAAAGAAGCAATACATTTATTTCTACATTCATTTTATTATTTACCTAGTAGTCATTCAGAAGCAGATTGTTCAGTTTCCGTGTAGCTGTGTGGTTTTGAGTGATTTTTTAAATCCTGAGTTCCAATTTGATTGCACTGTGGTCTGAGAGACTGTTATGATTTTCATTCTTTTGCATTTGCTGAGGAGTGTTTTATGTCCAATTATATGGCCAGTTTTAGAATACATGCTATGTGGTGCTGAGAAGAATGTACATTCTGTTGATTTGGGGTGGAGAGTTCTGTACATATCTATTAGGTCCACTTGTTCCAGAGCTGAGTTCAAGTCCTGGATATCCTTGTTAATTTTCTGTCTTGGTTCTGTTTAATATTGACAGTGGGGTGTTAAAGTCTCCCACTGTTATTGTGTAGGAGTCTAAGTCTCTTTGTTGGTCTCTAAGAACTAGTTTTATAAATCTGGGTGTTCCTGCATTGGGTGCATATACATTTAGGATAGTTAGCTCTTCTTGTTGCATTGATCCCTTTACCATTATGTAATGCCCTTCTTTGTCTCCTTTGATCTTTGTTGGCTTAAAGTCTGTTTTATCAAAGACTAGGATTGCAACCCCTGATTTTTTTTTTCTTTCCATTTTCTTGGTAAATCTTCCTCCATCCCTTTATTTTGGGCCTATATGTGTCTTTGCATGTGAGATGGGTCTCCTGAATACAGCACACCAATGAGTCTTGACTCTTTTTTTTTTTTTTTAAGATGGTGTTTCACCATGTTGGTCAGGCTGATCTTGAACTCCCGACCTCAGGTAATCCGCCCGCCTTGGCCTCCAAAGTGCTTGGATTACAGGTGTGAGCCACCGTGCCCGGCTGAGTCTTGACTCTTTATCCAGTTTGCCAGTCTGTGTCTCTTAATTGGGGCATTTAGCCCATTTACATTTAAGGTTAATATTGTTATGTGTGAATTTCATCCTAGCTGATTATTATGTACATTATGTCATTATGATGCTAGCTGATTATTTTGTACGTTAGTTGATGCAGTTTCTTTATAGTGTCAATGGTGTTTTCAATTTAGTATGTTTTTGCAGTGGCTGGTACCAGTTGTTCCTTGCCATACTTAGTGCTTCCTTCAGGAGCTCTTGTAAGGCAGGCCTGGTGGTGACAAAATCTCTCAGCATTTGTTTGTCTGTAAAAAATTTTATCTCTCATTTGTTTATGAAGCTTAGTTTGGCTGGATATAAAATTCTGGATTGAAGATATTTTTCTTTAAGAATGTTGAATATTGGCCCCCACTCTCTTCTGGCGTGTAGGGTTTCTCCAAAGAGATCTGCTGCAAGCCTAATGGGCTTCACTTTGTAGATAACCCAACCTTTCTTTCTGACTGCTCTAAACATTTTTTTTCTTCATTTCAAAAAGAGAAAGCAGGAAAGATCTAAAATCAACAACTTAACATCACAATTAAAAGAACTAGAGAAGCAAGAGCAAACATTCAAAAGCTAACAGAACATGAGAAATAACTAAGATCAGAGCAGAACTGAAAGAAATAGATACACAAAAAACCCTTCAAAAACTCAGTTAACCCAGGAGTGGGTGATTTGAAAAAATTAACAAAATAGATAGACTGCTAGCCAAACTAATCAAGAATAAAACAGAGAAGACTCAAATAGATGCAATAAAAAATGATGAAGGGAATATCACCACTGATCTCACAGAAGTACAAACTACCATCAAATAATACTATAAACACCTCTACACAAACAAACTAGAAAATCTAGATAAATAAATAAATTCCTGGATATATACACCCTTTCAAGACTAAACCAGGAAAAAGTCAAAACCCTGAATAGACAAATAACAAGTTCTGAAATTGAGGCAGTAATTAATAGCCTGCCAACCAAAAAAAAAAGCACAGGACCAGACAGATTCACAGATGAACTCCACCAGAGGTACAAAAAGGAGATGGTACCATTCCTTCTGAAACTATTCCAAACAATAGGAAAAGAGAGACTCCTCCCTAACTCATTTTATGAGGCCAGCATCATCCTGATACCAAAACCTGGCAGAGACACCACAAAAAGAGAAAATTTTAGGCCAGTATCTCTGATGAACATTGATGCAAAAATCCTTAATAAAATACTGGCAAACCAAATCCAGCAATACATCAAAAAGTTTATCCACCACAATCAGGTTGGCATCATACCTGTTATGGAAGGCTGGTTCAATGTACACAAATTAATAAATGTAACCCATCACATAGGCAGAAGCAATGACAAAAATCACATGATTATCTCAACAGATGCAGAAAAGGCCTTTG